TATTAATTTAAGTGATTAAAATCGTGTCCAGAGTTTTTGTGAACACCATCAGATTTCTTTAAAAGTACAAAAAAAATCAGGAATTATTGTGGGCAGCTTACACTCTGAGGACCCCTTTACCACTTCCTGTTTGCTACACATGCCATGAGGTCACTGCTGTGATAATTTTTTATTTTTTAAAGATGCAACAATTTCAAAAGCATTTTTATTTATTTAACTTCAGGTCTGCCAATAAGTGACAACATAGTGAAACAATAATCAGTGTGTATATGTATACTTTTTAATTCATTAGCTCAAATCAAACCCCACAAATTATTCATGCACCACAGTCGCAGGACCCTTCTCAGATACAAATTAGCTAGTTCAGTGAATGGGAAAAAACTTCACTTTGGTTTTCCAAGCAATCTGCAATGTAAAAACAAAACAAGAAAGTGTGCACGGTATTTTCAAACAAGGAATTACAAAATTTTGCAAAATGAAGAAACAAATTGAAGGCTGGTAGTCAACTGTAATAACCAGCTAGATGGACAGCACTAGAGTTATGTTGATTGCTCACAGCCTGTGAAAGACTGACTGATGTAATTAGTCGACCTGCTCAAATATAATTACATAAAATCAAACTTAGAGACAGCATAATTTGTCAGGTGCTTCCTCTCTTAGGAAGACATTGGAATATGTCAGCTTTGCATCCCCCCCCCTCATGTTTCAAATGAATTATTGTTGTCATAACAAAAAAGTTATTAAGATTATGTGCCACCATAGTCTGCTCCTATGAATTTGAAGCATACATATTATAGATAAGATGTGTCTGCATAGGCTGCTGAAACACATCTATCCAACCTTTTGAGGACATATGTAGGATAAAAGAACATTAATCATGTTCTTGATAATTGGAGGTTGTGGGTGCATGTTGTGTGGCAGGTGGTGGGCCAGAACCATCTCCCAGGCATCGACCAGATGGACATTGAAGCCTTTGAACACAGCCCTGAGTGCCTTTAGCCGCTGAAAAGTGTACCAGTCGCTGTTGACAAATGCACCAGAGGGTGTAAAAGATTTGGGATTTCCAGTCCGAATGACAACCACAGTGCCTGGAGCCCTGGACAGTAGCCTTACCACTGCCCTGCGAATGGACATCAGTCGACGGATGTAGAACTCAATAGGGAAATTGTCAAAGTGTGCCCAGATGCCAAAAACTACTACAGTGTTACTACCTCCAACCACATTGTCCAGCTCATTGGCAATATAATGCAGCTCCATGGATGGGACATTGACAGTACGCAGAGGAGGACCGTGGGCGCGGTGCGTCACAAAGATATTGTTTGCATAGTCCAGCGCCATTAAAGGTCCGATAGACTTGGGGCTATGCAGGTTAAACTCCTTTAGATCTAAAAGAATTCCAAAGGGAATAAGTTAAGCTACATGAATAAAAT